TGAAATCTCACTTGGAAACGTGCAAAATTGAAATGTCAAATGCCCATTTGCAACGCCAGTTGTACATGTTTTACAGTCAACCCGAATATGCTGCATTTTGTTGAAGTTAGAAACTAAGCACAAAGAGGCCTTATTATTTATTTTCATCACCATTGTAGGGAGTTGCAATTTACATATTTTGTGCAAATGTTGTTGAGATTACTATTATTGATATTGAACCATTTCGTTGTGTCTTTTTGACAGGTCATCTTGTTTGATCCTTGCTTTGATTGTTACTACAACCAAATCAGACTTGCTGGTGGAAAACCAGTTTATGTAACTTTACAACAGGTTTGTTACAAGTCATGACATTGTTATCAATAAGTTAATAGAAACATTACTTGTACAGTTCAATTTCTCTTTTTGGTTATTTGATGTTACAGGGATATTCAAGGGTTCTTGGTGTAATATATGTGTGTGGGGCCAAGATAGTGTCCTCCATGCATTGCTCTTTTTCACTGTCTCTCACAGTGCAGAAATATTGCTACACACATTGCACAAGGCATTTTTTTACATTTTATATTCACATGTTACTTTTTATCTAAATTGGGCTCCCTGTGTTGTAACTAAAACTTGTCTTTTTTTTTTTTTTTTTTTTTTTTGATGATCAGAAAAAAGGTGCCACAACAGCTAAGGATTGGATAATAGACAGAGCTTCAATCGAATCTAAAATAACTGACAAGACAAGAGCTATAGTGATTAATTCACCACATAATCCAGTGGGAAAGGTAACTACATATATAAAAAGCACTGGCTGGATGCTTAACATTTATCAAAACATAACTTTGGACAGAGTGATGGCTACTGTGAACAATCCACACCGTACAGAAAGGTGTCAGTAAGTGGTTGGCTGACCAATTACAGACACCTTAACCATTACGCTACCGACCACCTACTGACACATTTTACCAACCACTTACCAACCACTTACCAACACCCTATCAACCACTTGCCCACCATTTTTAATTACCGAYCACTTACTGACCACTTACCAACAACTTACCRACACCTTCCATTTGGAATTTGTGATTAACCTCTGGAGGTTGTCGTTTCAGTCTTTCACTTACAACTCTTATTTGGCTCTCATGATTTTGTTTTTGTATTTCCAGGTACTAAGCATGGAGGAGCTAGAAATGATAGCAGATATCTGTATAAAGCATGACTTGCTGTGTATCAGTGATGAAGTGTATGAGTGGTTGGTCTTCAATGGTGCCAAGCATACTCGCATAGGTAGGTCATTGATAGGGTGTGTGGCATCTCCCCTCAGATGTCATAGCACATTTTGCCATGCCATGCCATGCCATGAATGTAACCCGCATTGCAGGCATTTCTTGTTGGAACAGGGAAGATTCTCTCCTCTGCAACAATCTTCCCCATTTTWAAAAAAATATCTAATCGRTTTAACACTCCTGGGTGGACGGCATAATGCCTAATAAGTTTTGCAACCCAATTAATAAGGCAGCTGATTAGACTGAATTAGAATTTAGAAGTTGATAAATTTTGTGGAGGGAGTAAATAACGGAGAACATGAAGGAAAAACCCTCAAAGCAAAGGAGAGAACCAACAAACAACTCTAATAATATGACACCAAGCATGTCAATGCTCAAACCCAGCTCGCATTCATTGATGGGAGGCAATGCATTAGCAGCGTCACCACCCATGCTTTCCTCTATTTCCAACAAGAACAGCTGCAATGCAGTTGTCACCTCAAAACCTGAAAACCTGACACACTAAATTCCAATTCACTATGTAAGTTGGCTGTGCCTTGACTTTAATCAGCCCAGAGGTTGTTTCAGGGTTCAATCATTGAGTAAGCCGCAACCTGACTTAGATTAGCCCAGAGGTGGTTTCAAGGTTCAATCTGTGATTTAGCCATGCCCTGAATTAGATCAGCCCAGAGGTTGTTTCAGGGTTCAATCATTGAGTAAGCCGCAGCCTGACTTAGATTAGCCCAGAGGTGGTTTCAAGGTTCAATCTGTGATTTAGCCATGCCCTGACTTAGATCAGCCCAGAGGTTGTTTCAGGGTTCAATCTGTGAGTTAACCATGTCCTGACTTAGAACAGCCCAGAGGTTGTTACAGGGTTAGATGAAATTGGGAGGTTTGATTTGAGAGCAGTTATTTCATGTTCTTTGATAATATCTTGGCATGCTTATACTTCAAATGACCAAAATGCTTTCAGCTACTTTTCCTGGTATGTGGGAACGAACACTGACCATCAGCAGCGGAGGAAAAACATTTGGAGTCACAGGATGGAAGGTACTGTACACCAGAGAAGCAACTCAAGATTGACTTGATACTGTGTTGCACTTTGAAAATCAAGCCAGTTGTTTAAAGACTAATGGAGTTTTAGCATGGCAATTATGGCCTTCGTTTCTGCCCATTTCAACTCATCCTGAAGCATTTTAATGCGACTAGCCCACAAAGCAGGCGCTCTTATGGGTTTGGGCTAAATTTCGGCGAAAACCACGGTTTTGGGATAACTTTGAAAATTTGGAACAAGCGAGAACTAAAACTGAGCAAAAAAGAAGCGAAGGGCCCATTTTTCTCGTGGGCACGTAGTTGAAACAGGAACCCCAAAACCCCGATTCTTCCCCAATCCCACAAGAACGCCTGTTCTGCAGGCTAGAATGCAAGGGTAGATGGTCAAAAAACGTCTGCTGCTTGAGAAAGCCTAGCCTGCGTCACATCCGGAATTTTCTTCGTAAATACGAGAGAAAATATAGAGAAAGCCCTATATGAATGTATTTGTCTTTAGGTTGGCTGGATCATTGGTCCTGAAAATCTAATCAGATCTGTGCAAGCCGTTCACACGGATGTGACCTTCCATGTACCAACCCCAATACAGGTTAGTACTGATTATCATGAAAAAATATCCCTTTAGCAAAATTCCCTAAGCTACCACAGGTAACCCAAATTCTGAGGAACTCTCCAATAAAATCAAACAAATTACCAAATGGACTACTTCGACGGCGGCCATCTTGGATTGCAAGGCATTTTGGGCGTTCAGGGGGCAAATAAAGCTTTGTTGCAGAAATAAAGTCGATTGATAGAAGATGAARAAGATAAGTTAAGACGGCATATCGATCACCTTTACCCATGAAAGACAGACAAACACACAAAACTCTATATATTTTCAGTCATCTTTCTTTTGTTTTGCCCCCTGGCAAGATGGCCGTTGTGTCATCAAATTAGTCCATTACTAGTGTGCCAGCCTTGGCTTGTTAACTATGTGTGGACCGAATTTTAGCGCATTTACGCGAGTTTTGCCATAATTTTCCATGAATTACCTGTGAAGGTGCCAGGGTTTTCAGACCAAATACTTCATCCTCTATTTAGGAAGCCGTTGCTACGTGTATAGAGAGGGAGACACCGTTGCTAGGGACCAGTGAGTCTCACTTTGCTCAGCTTGCTGAGCTGACAACCAAAAGAATGGAGAAAATCGCGAGTTTTTTGACAGATTTTGGATTCGTACCCATGATACCAGAGGGAGGTTACTTTATGTTGGCGGATTTCTCCAAGGTGGATACCGGTAAGTGGTACACACACCTTAGAGCGATTTCAACTGCAACTGGCCACTATKTGGTAAACGAGCGCGATTTAAAGTAACGGGATCAACTCAATCACTTTAAATAATATTATATTACCACTGTTTTGATTGACACGCGTTCAAGTTGACCGAGATGAAAGTAGCGACAGGTTTTAAACTATGGGCAAGAAAGAGAATACCATGAATTGAGTAAATCATTAGAGTACGTAAGGTACATGGGAACCGCATCTAAAGATTTGTCTTATTGACAGTAGTCTAATACTGATGCAACTGTTGCGACTTTTGTGGCGTAGCAATGAAAAATGCGAGAAAAAATAAATAAAAATAAAATAAAAATTTAATTTAATTTWAAAAAATGAAAACAGCGAGATTTGACTTTACTAGAGAAAAAAATATTAATAAAATATTTGTTCTTAGCAAGATTGTATGTTGTTTTCCAGGCGTCGATTTGAATGAATATGACAAGAGTGACGACCCAGTAGACTACAAGTTTATTCGATGGCTCGCCAAGGAGAAGGTAAGTTGAAAATGCATCGGCCCCATGGACCTCCTTTCCTCACCTATACCCCCCCCCCCCCCCTCCCTCCCGCTGGCGGTGCACGCCCTTGTTGATATTGGTATTCTCAATATTCTTATATTGATTTCAGGGTATCGCACTTGTCCCGCCAAGTGCCTTCTATGGAGCTGACAATAAAGCTTTGGCTGGTACTAATGTGCGCGTTTGTCTAATGAAGGTATGAATATGACATGCAAATACGTTAGTGGGGTAATACGGGTAGAGCATTTTTTGCATGACTTTGAACTTTGAAAAGCTCWGTGCCRTATGCGAACCTTGCCRCGTGATTGTAGTGTTGTTGTTTTTTGATAATTTTGGTTACCTGATTTTTTTTCTCCCGCAATGGGATTGGCCTCCCAGTGCCGTAACCTTGGCGTGGCCCTGTCCGCGCCGTGTTGAGTGGATGGAGAGTAAATTCTCGAGCACTGTAATTGGTCTAGCGCATCCCTTGCCGTGTCACGACCGTGTTCGTGCCGTGAGCATTTCACAATCATAGAAAACTGCTCTAAAAGACCCTAGCCATAATGACGTTTCATACCTAAACTACCACAATSCTTAAAATGCCAAAGAACTCCTTTGAGAATACCAAGAAAATAATACTGTAGCTACCTAAAGGGATTCTGGAAGCGTAGGTATGAAACGTCGTCATGCTTGAGGTTTACTACTTGTCGTACAACATTGATTGATTGCTTCTGAGTGCAGAATGGATGTTACTCGTGTGTGGACACTCTGCTTCAAAGTAGGAACTGTGACGTTGAGGGGTATTAGAGGGGAGTTGTGAAACCATCTTCCTAAGATTATATTTCTGTYTCCAGGCGGACAGCAGCATCGAAAAAGCAGCAGAACTCCTGAAGAAGATTAAGAAATAATCCTAGAAGGAAGTATATTGCCATGAAGGCAAGCAGTTAATTGTATTGTTAGGTCTAGTGTTACGTGAATGTACGAGATGTTATTAATGCACACTGTTTTAAAGATGATAGAATGTTGCATCCGTATGAACGGATGGATGGAAGATGGGAATGGATGAAATACATGATGGATAGATAGATGGGTGG